ATATATATATATATGTTTTTTTTTAATTGCACTTTCGGTTTATAAATATATATATATAAAATGGGTAAAGTGGGCTGGGTGAGGTGGCTCACGCCTATAGTCCTAGCACTGTGGGAAGCCGAGGCAGGGGGATCACCTGAGGTTGGGAGTTTGAGACTAGCCTGACCAACATGAAGAAATTCCATCTCTACTGAAAATACAAAATTAGCCGGGCATGGTGGCAGGTGCCTGTAATCCCAGCTACTACGGAGGCTGAGGCAGGAGAATCACTTAAACCTGGGAGGCGGAGGTTGCAGTGACCCAAGATCACGCCACTATACTCCAGCCTGGTGACAGAGCGAGACTATGTCTCAAAAACAAAAAAGAGAGCTTTTGCTGGGCGTGGTGGCTCACACCTGTAATCTCAGCACTTTGGGAGGCCAAGGCAGGTGGATCACCTGAGGTTGGGAGTTCGAGGCCAGCCTGACCAAAATGGAGAAACCCCATCTCTACTAAAAATACAAAAAATCAGCTGGGTGTGGTGGTGCATGCCTGTAATCTCAGCTACTCGAGAGGCTGAGGCAGGAGAATCATTAGAACTTGGGAGGCGGAGGTTGTGGGGAGCCAAGATTGTGCCATTGCACTCTAGCCTGGGCAACAAGAGTAAAATTCCACCTCAAAAAAGAAAAAAAAAAAGGACAGGCACGGTGGCTCACGCCTGTAATCCCAGCACTTTGGGAGCCTGAGGGGTGGATCACGAGGTCAGGAGATTGAGACCATCCTGGCCAACATGGTGAAACCTCGTCTCTACTAAAAATACAAAATTAGCTGGGCGTGGTGGCATGCACCTGTAGTCCCAGCTACTTGGGAGGCTGAGGCTACTTGTAGTCCCAGCTACTTGGGAGAATCGCTTGAACCAGGGAGTTGGACGTTACAGTGAGCCGAGATCACGCCACTGTACTCCAGCTTGGTGACAGACCAAGACTCTGTCTCAAAAAAAGAAGAAAAAAAGGATAAAGTGGCAAATTTTATGTTTCATATATTTTACCACAATCAAAAAGTAAGCAAGAAACTAATAAAATCTTATGCGTTCCTACTTAGCAGGGCTGAAATATCTAGATGTTTAGCAAGATTTAGTACTAAATAATATATTAGTGTCTACTCAAATACTCTAAATTTGTATAATTCTATCTTATTTATAAAACTTTTATAGGTGAAAATATGAAGTATCTCAATATAAAAACAAAATTACTTGCCTAATTGCCTTTCTTTTTTCTTCTTGATCAGAAGAGATGTATGCCTTCATCTCATTAGTAGCACGACGAAGTTGAACTTCTAGGTTCTAAATAGAAAGACTTAAGTTTTAGGGAAGACTTTGATATAGAAAAAACTTCAGAAACGTTTTTGATCTACTTTGTCTTACCTTAATCATACAATTTGTATAATGGTATCTACTTTCTTCTTGAAGACATTCTTCACGGAGTCTTCTAACTTCCTATAATATATAATTTTAGACATTATTGAAAGAATGACACAGATATGGCGGCAATGACTTTAGATGTACAACAATAGACTACCATCAGAGTCATTTTCTCTTCTGTAATTTTAACTTTGTTTATTCTAGCACAATAGGAAATAATCTTTTTCTAGAGAATACTCATATCACTCTTTAACCTGCAAGTTCAATTGTGTTTTTTGAGACAGAGTATCGCTGTGTCACTCAGGCTGGAGTGCAGTGGTGCGATCTTGGCTCACTGCAACCTTCTCTTTGCAGGTTCAAGTGATTCTCATGCCTCAACTTCCTGAGGAGCTGGAACTACAGGCACATGCCACCACGCCTGGCTAATTTTTGTGTTTTTAGTAGAGATGGGGTTTTACCATGTCGGTCAGGATGATCTTGAACTCCTGGTCTCAAGTGATCCTCCCGCCTTGGCCTCTCAAAGTGCTGGGATTACAGGCATGAGCCATTGCGCCTGGCCCAATCATACATTTATTTAGTACCTACTGTGTGGCCAGCACTGTCCTAAGTGCTAAGGAGACTGCAGTGAACAGACATGTTCCCTGCTTTCACTTAAGTAGAAGAAACCAACATAAACAAGGAAACACAATGAAGGTTATTTGAGATGGAGATAAGTGCTATGAAGGAAATTCAGCAGTAGAATGTGATATAGGGACTAGGTGGGCCAGGTTGGGAAGGAGAGTGGGTAACATCAGGTGATCACAGATCTCTGAGAGGTGGTGACACTGAGGCTGAGACCTAGTAATGAAAAGGAGAGAGGAAGGCAGAGTTAGGAGCAGAGTGTATCATGCAGAGTGAAGAGCACATGCAAAATCCCACAAGTGAAAACAAGCTTGGCCTGTTTGAAGTTCAGGAAGAGGGTCGGAGTGGCTGAAGCTCGTAAGTTCATAAGGCAGGTGGGGCCTTGCAGACCATAGTTTGGAGGTCAGATTTTAAGTGCGACAGGAAGCCAATGAAGGGTGGCAAAAATTTTAAACAGGTTTCCTAGGCTGCCCTATGAAGAATAAACCTTAGGAGAGCAACAGTAGAAGCAAGAGAACAGGTAAAATGTTACTGTGGAAGGCCAGGCAGCAGATAATGAGACTTGCACTTTGATGGTAGTGGTACAGATGGAAAATTCAGTGTGTACAAATTCAGTTGAAAGAAATAAAGATCTCTGGAGCTTAGGAGACAGACTTGGGAGATGATGACAAAGATTTGGGAATCTTTTGACATTAATGTAAATGTGTGTACATGGGCAGTATTTAAAACATTTTTTTTTTAGAGACAGAGTCTTGCTCTATTGCCCAGGCTAGAATGCAGTTGTGTGATCATAGCTCACTGTAGCCTCAAACTCCTGGGCTCAAGTGATCCTCCTGTTTCAGCCTCCCGAGTAGCTGGGACTACAGGTGTACACATGGGTAGTTTTTGCTAAATTGTTAAAATAAAAATTCTCTTCTTACCTGTTCTAATTTGGACCGATTGCTTTCGAGGCCTGCTGCACAGCTATCATACTGGGATTTCTTTTCATCACACTCCTGGGTTAGTTCCTGGTAGAAAAAGGGCAAATGATTGAATAAGTAAAAAACAAAGGCCCCAAACACAGCTCTGAAACAATGCATGCCCTTGTCAGTCTTGTAATTTAACTCTAAGCTTCTTGGCATACTTAAGAGTTATTTATACAACAACCAGACATTTGAGAATTATGATAGATGAAGGTGCTGATAAGAATAATAGCTACCATGTATTGAGCTGTGTGCCAGGTTCTTTGTTAGGAGCTGGGGAGACAACAGTGAATAAAACAGCCAGAAATTCTTCCTCTCAAGTAACGTTCAGACAAGTAAACAGGCTGCTGAGAGCTATGATAGGAAAACACAAGGTGTTACAGAAGGCACACAGGACTCCCAGGAACCTAATGCAGGCTTGGAGATCAGTGGGGACAACTTCCTGGAGAAATTGATATATAAGCTAATCACAGAGGATTAGTAAGAACAGTTAGGTAGAAAATAAACAAGGGGAAGAGAGTGTTTAAAAAAAGGAACACTATGTATAAAGGATGGGAAGCTACAGAGAATAAGAATAATCAAGAAACTTATAAGTAGTTTATTATGCTGGTTTATTTATTTATTTATTTTGAGATGGATTCTCACTCTGTTGCCGAGGCTAGAGTGCAATGGCGCAATCTTGGCTCACTGCAACCTCTGCCTCCCATGTTCAAGTGATTCTCCGGCCTCAGACTCCCAAGAAGCTAGGATTACAGACATGTGTCATCACGCCTGGCTAATTTTTGTATTTTTAGTAGAGATGGGGTTTCACTATGTTGGTCAAGCTGGTCTTTAACTCCTGACCTCAGGTGATCCACCCGCCTTGGCCTCCCAAAGTACTGGGATTACAAGCATGAGCCACCACGCCTGGCCTATGCTGGTTTATTTCTGGGAAATGGTGAGAGGAGGCTGAAGACGTAGGCAGGGGTTTAATTAGAAGAACTTCGTAAAGCATTCTAGGGTGTTTAAAATGTACCACTGACAACAGCTAAATCTCATAATAGCACCATATAATGCTTGGAGAAAGTTCAGGGAGGCCAAGTACCTTGCCAAAGATTATACTGCTAAAAAAAGGTGGTGTCAGAATTTGAGTTCAGATTGTTTAAGTAGTTTCTTTATCAGGAGTGGGTGGGCAGGAAATTCAAATTTTGTTTTAAGTGTTTCAAAGTTTCTTCTAATATAATATTTTAATGAGATAATTTGAAAATCTCTTGCTACAATCATCTAGAAACACTAAAAGTACAGTCATGCATGGCATGATGGTTCAGTCAACAACGGACCACATATATGATGGCAGTCCCATATGATTATAACGGAGCTGAAAAATTCCTATCACTTTAGTGATATCATAGGCATCATAAAGCCATAGTGCAACTAATTACTCACGTGTTTGTGCTGATGTTGGTGTAAACCAATCTGTCAATTGTATAGAGGTACAGCAATACAACTATGTACTGTATATAATACTTGATGATGACAATAAACCACTACCATTACTGGTTTATGTATTTACTATACTACACTTTTTATTGTTATTTTAGAGTGTACTGCTTTTACTTATAAAAAGTAAACTGTAAAACAGCCTCAGGCAAGTCCTTCAGGAGGCATCCAGAAGAAGGTATTGTAATAGGAAATGACAGCTCCATGTATGTTATTGCCCTTGAAGACCTTTCAGTGGGACAAGATGTTTCAAGGTGGAAGACAGTGATACTGATTATCCTGATACTGTGTAGGCCTAAGTGTGTGTTTGTGTCTTAGTTTTTAAAAAAACAAGTTTAAAAAGTGAAAAAAGATTTGGTGCAGTTGCTCACTCCTGTAATTGCAGCACTGTGGGAGGCCAAGGCAGGTGGATTACTTGAGCCTAGGAGTTCAAGACAAGCATAGGCAACAGAGCAAGACCCCACCCCTACAAAATAAATAAATAAATAAAAATTAGCCAGGCTTGGTGATATGTGCCTGCGGTCCCAGCTACTCCTTAGGCTGAGGTGAGAGGGCTGCTTGAGACCAGGAGGGTGAGGCTGCCATGAGCCATAATGGCACCACTGCACTCAGCCTGGGTGACAAGGGTAACACGCTGTCTCAAAAAAAAAAAAAAAATCTTTTTTTTAACTTTTTTTTTGGAGACAGTTTTGCTCTTGTCAACCAGGTTGAAGTACAATGACGGGATCTCCGCTCACTACAACCTCTGCCTCCCGGGTTCAAGCAATTCTCATGCCTCAGTCTCCTGAGTAGCTGGGACTATAGATGTGCACCACCATGCCCAGATAATTTTGTATTTTTAGTAGAGACAAAGTTTCACCATGTTGGGTGGTCTCAAACTCCTGGCTTCAGGTGATCCTCCCACCTTGGTCTCCCAAAGTGCTGGGATTACAGGCATGAGCCATTGCAGCTGGCAAAAAATTTTTTAAATAGAAAAAATGTATAAAAGAAGGATATAAGAAAAGAAAATATTTTCATACTACTATACAATGTGCTTGTATTTTAAGCTGTTTTACAAAAAAGTCAATTTTTTTTTTTTTGAGACAGAGTCTCGCTCTATCACCCAGGCTGGAGTGCAGTGGCGGGATCTCAGCTCACTGCAACTTCCACCTCCCGGGTTCAAGTGATTCTCCTGCCTCGGCCTCTTGAGTAGCTGGGACTACAGCTATGTGCCACCACGCCTGGCTAATTTTTTCTATTTTTAGTAGAGATGGGGTTTCACCGTGTTAGCCAGGATGGTCTCGATCTCCTGACCTAGTTATCTACCCGCCTGGACCTTCCAAAGTGCGGGATTACAGAGGTGGGCCACCATGCCCAGTCACAAAAGTCAAATATATATATATATATATATGTGTGTGTGTATATATATATATGTGTGTGTGTATATATATATATGTGTGTGTGTGTGTGTATATATATATATATATGTTTTTAATTAAAAGTTTATAAAGTAAGAAAGGTTTTTTAAAAATTAAAAAAATTTTTTTTTCGAGACAAGAGTCTTGCTCTGTCGCCCAGGCTGGAGTGCAGTAGTGTCATCTCAGCTTACTGCAAACTCCACCTTCCGGGTTCAGGCAATTATCCTGCCACAACCTCCCAAGTAGCTGGGATTACAGGCATGCGCCACCACACCCAGCTAATTTTTTTCTGTGTTTTTAGTAGAGACAGGGTTTCACTATGTTGGCCTGGCTGGTCTTGAACTCCTGACCTTGTGAATCTGCCTGCCTTGGCCTCCCAGTGCTAGGATTATAAGCGTGAGCCACTGTGCCTGGCCAAGAAAGCTACAGTAAGTTAAGGTTACTTTATTATTTTATTTTATTTTATTAATTTATTTATTTTGAGACGGGGTTTCATCATGTTGGCCAGGCTAGTCTTGAACTCCTGACCTCAGGTGATCCGCCCACGTCAGCCTCCCAAAGTGCTAGGATTACAGGTGTGAGCCACGGCACCCGGCTGATTTATTTTATTTTATTTTTTGAGACGGAGTTTCGCTCTTGTTGCCCAGGCTGGAGTGCAATGGCATGCTCTAGGCTCAACGTAACCTCCACCTCCCGGGGTGTTTGCACAATGATGAAATCACCCAATTATGCATTTCTTAGAACATATCCTCATCATTAAGTGATGCATGGGTGCATCTACAAATGCTTGGTAAGACAGAGCAACATTCTTTCAAATCCAGAGCTGAACTGAACTCTCAAGGAAATAAAAAAAATTAAAAGGACCTTAAAGTATAATGTTATGGCTACCCTTGGTGAAAGGAATTGGGAATGGCCAGTCTTGGTAACATAGTGATTTTAATATTCAGGCAGTGCAGATGAAAAGCCTTAGGTCTGTGCAAAGTGGGAAATTAGAACTGAGGACCACATAGTAAATCTTAAGTTGTTTTCAACCTGCGAACCTGTAAAGGGTTAACACCATCCTGAGAATGACCTTGCATGGTTTCACACAGCAGTTTCCTTAGAAATACGACAGTTAGCATAGATGAGTAATGTGTATGCTGCTTTTGTTGTGTGAGACTGCATCTGGGTTGGGGTCACCAGTACAGAATAAAAGATTGCTGGTAGAAAGGGGATGTGGCTTCCATATATCAAAGTGACCTACAGACATCCAAGGCTCTCAAAGGTGACAGTTACATCCAAAGTGGGAAAAGGAGTCACAGAGGCTATGTACTTAGGTAGCTGCTGGTCTCTCAATGAGATCAAGATGCTGTAGTTGATAAAAGCCTTTCTTGGTGGCAAGTCTTATGGCCAAATTGATCACTATGCAGCTGTGATAGTGATCACAGCTGTCCTCAGGCAGCTTTGGAGTTTGAATTTATCCTACCTACATGGTCTAGGAACTTCCAAGCTGAGAAATTAACTCAATATTAGCTTCAAGTTTGTGATATTTCTAAAACACCTGGCAGAAAAACTGCAAAACCAATCCAGAGGGATACAGCCTCCATCCTGGCTGCCAGGATTCAAGACACGAAATTCTGTTAATGAAAGCTCACAGTCCCAAAGTATAAAACATATAAGGGAAAAATCTATTCATTAGGAGTGAGAATCAGAAGACGTAAATAACAGGACCATACCTAAATGAACTTTAGATACTAGACATAAGCCAAATAAATAAGTATGTTCAAAATAATAAAAATTATAAAGGAGAAACTGAAAACAAAAGATTACAAAAAGTGAGGCCAGGCGCAGTAGCTCACACCTGTAATCCCAGCACTTTGGGAGGCCGAGGCGGCCAGTTCACTTGAGGTCAGGAGTTAGAGACCAGCCTGGCCAACATGGTTAAACCCGTCTCTACTGAAAATACAAAAATTAGCCAGGCATGATACGCATGCCTGTGGTCCCAGCTACTCAGGAAGCTGAGGCAGGCGAATGGCTTGAATCTGAGGCACAGAGGTTCCAGTGAGCCGAGTCGCAGCACTGCACTCCAGCCTGGGCAACAGAGTGAGACTCTGTCTCAGAAAAAAAAAAAAAAAAAAAGACAGTCATTGAAATTAAAAATTAAGTGGATGGAATAAACATGATATTAGA